TCTAACCCTAATCTTTGCCATAGGTTTGGCAGAAACCACCTATGATGACTGGACCCACGGTGAAGTTTTATTAGCTCTCTTCTACCTCTTTTGGACAGGGTACATAATTACTGTTTATTGTTACTGATGTGGTTTCCCTTCATGGTTCCAGAACCCTCATCCTGCGATCCATATATTCACATAACTCGATCGGGTCAGGGGGTTACGTGAACCTGCTTTATCACACTCATTTCTCCTGCCAAGGAACAGCCGTGGGGACCTACAGGTATAACAAAACTACCTATACTATTTGCCTGCAAGAGGGCCAATGCACTTGTTTCAATCCACAGTACTCCCCAAATGATGAATGGCTAGAAGTCAGGAGCTGCAACAATAAAGGTCATATAATTCAAAAGGTCCAGATCACCAATCTGAAACAGCCAGTGTCAAAACAGTTTGATGTGTGTGGGGCCTTAAAATGTGAATCAACTCACCTGTAAGCAGTAAGTAAGAAAGCACTAGTGGGAACCAGCTATCGCAGTACATGTGGAGGCCTATCTTGGGAAAAGGAGTACAGGTTCAGTGATAAATATATATGTGAGATAACCAAGACCTAGTGAATGTGCACTACCTTGCCCCAGCTGGAAATATGTCTCTTGGGCCACCCACAAAAGTAAAGATAAGACAGCACTCTTCAAAAGGGTGTCACTACCTCAGGGTGTCACTTAGGGGCCTGTAATCCTGTTAATTTTATCATCCTTGATCCAGAAGACCCTAAGTGGAGAAATGACCAGCAGACTGCCATATATATCTACAGGCAGGGCAAAAACCCGGGGACTATATTATACTTCAAAAGAATTACAGTCTCCCATAAAGCCTTGTCCAACCAGGTTTTTCACTCCTTCTGTGAAGAAATGAAAAGAACTGTGTCACCCATCTCCACTACTACCAGAAATCTGTTTCTAGAACTAGCAGACACTATAGCTCAATCTTTAAAAATCACTTCCTGCTATGTATGTGGGGGAACAAATATGGGGGATCAATGGCTTTGGGAGGCTATAGAGTTGGATCCCCATGAGCCCTATAATGATACAAGATACTCCCAGCGGGCTACTGGGGTTTGGCTTCTCAAAACCTCAATTACTGGAAAGAACTTGCCCAATGGAGAGGACAATTTAACACTTCCATTGTTAGCTTGACATGCCTGGGCCAAAAATTCTATAATGTAACCACCTGGAAAACCCAATGGTGGGGATCCCCAAACCACACTGAACCAAACCCCCATCACTTGTCCAATTTCTCTCATCTCCCAGAGGCCTGAAATGATGTCAATGCAGACATCAAATGCCGAGCCCCAAGTGAACTATACTGGATATGTGGGAAAACAGCCTGTGTTGTACTTCCCCCAAACAGGTCAGGATCTTGTGTGTTGGGGTCAATCCGTCCATCCTTCTTCCTACTCCCACATGCCAGGGGGGAACTCTTAGGAGCTCTAGTATACGAAAGCTGGGAAACCCAAAGAAAATAGTGTGCCTTACAAATTGGCAACTGGAAGGTTGACAAATGATCCCCTGAGCATATAATCTATTTTTACATTCCAGCCACCTGGGCACAGGATGGGTCTTGGGGGTACAGTACGCCCATCTATATGTTGAACCATATCATCAGGTTATAGGCTCTTGTCGAAACTGTAACTACTGAGACTGCAAGAGCCCTCAATTTATTGGCTGAGCAAAGTACTAAAATGCACAATGCCATCTATCAGAACCACTTGGCCTTAGACTATTTGCTAGCTTCTGAGGTAGGAGTTTGTGGAAAATTTAACCTAAGCAACTGCTACTTACAGATAGATGATGAAGGAAAAGTCAAAGAAGAAATCACAGACTGAGTGAGAAAAATCGCCCACATCCCAGTCCAGACTTGGAAAGGTTGGAACCCTGGAGAATTATTTGGAGGATGGTTTTCAACTTTTGGGGGATTCAAAACCCTCATAAGTGTTATGCTTTTGATTTTAGCGGCTTGTCTGGTTTTGCCCTGCCTGTCCCCACTGATTGTAAGGTCTGTCTCCAGCCTCATCAAGGCCACAGTTGAAAGAAAAATGGCCCCCATGTAATGATGCTATGGAAATATAAACCCCTAAATCAAGATGATGCTCTTTGACCCTAGGTGGGTCCAAGCTTCAAAGACGGCAATGATGTAGCAGGGAGGAGGACCAGAGAGAAACAGACAGGCCTATGTTCTGATAAAGTAGCAGGGGGAAGGGATGGCATAGCAGAGAGATAAAACCTAAAGAATCCAAATGTGAAGAAGGTCATTTAGCACTAGGGGTAGAGGGCACTTAGCACTAGGATGAAGTAGCATATAGAATTGCATATAACCATATATGGGTTAAGCCTTGTTTTTTTAATTTTATTGCCTCTGTAACCTACTTGCAAGGGTACATAGGTGAGACTTGTTCTTGGGGCTCAGCCTTTGGACTCAAGTCAGCTGAGTCTGTGCTAGCATAATAAAGCATTGCTTCCTTGCCTCAGAGTCCTGTGTCTCTGTTCAAGTTTCCCATAACACCTTTGGACAATAGAATAATGAATGCTATTAGGCTGCAGAGGTGTTTGGTGTTCACAGTTGTCTTCGGAGTGAACAAATGCACCACCTCATGTTCATCTAGGTAGCGTTATTCTTTCTCCAAAACCATCTGCTATCTTCCATCGTGTTTCATAATGGCTCTACATTATGCTCAATCTGCCATTCTTAGAACTTCTTCCCAGTCACTGCTGTATAACACATCTGTCATGACTTTAGTGCAACAGCATATTAACACTGATAAGATTTAGCATGTCATTTTTTTTTGTGCCTGAAATTCTGCTAATAACTAGAAAGCAAATTACAGGGTGTTTTTCAGAAAATCTACATCCTCATTACACTATTTAATCTAAACAAGTTTAGCTTTTGACTATTGTCCCTGCTTCCAGCTTTTGACACTAGGTACCTTAAGAGTGCCAGAAAACTACTGATGACATTGAAGTATGTCATGTTGTCTTGAAGTTTCCACATATTATCATGTTAATACCTCAGAAAGAATTTGTTCATTCCTAAAAAGAAGCAATGTATATTTTGTTACAGACTATTCTACGTATGTGAATTTTTTCCATGATTAGAGCTTGCAGTTTAAGTAAAACTTAAAATTGGGGACATTTCTGATAAAAATAAAATTCTGTAAGATACATATGGCTCCTTCCCTTCTTAAATAGATGATATTAACCTTTGCTTAAAGTCTTAAGAGATAAAAATATTAATCGCCAAATGGATTTTTTTTCTGCTCCATTAATTCTGGCATGCCTCTTTAATTCATCTACATATATTTATACTTTTTCCTAGTCCTTGTTTTGCATTTCAACAATCTTTTCTAAAGATTCTTAGCATGCTCTTTTTAGGAATGTTAGGATGCTATGGATGGGAAGAGTAGATTATGAAGAGAAGTAAAGGTTTTTAAAACCATGACACTCATTTAAAGTAAAAGCAATAGAGTGCATGATCTTTTAGTTCATAGACTTTGTGATATTAATTCTGGACATGAGACTCCTTTATCATTTTTAAACTACATTTGAGAGAACCAAGGTTGCCAGAAAGGGACTGTTAGTTAACAATAAAGTACTAAAAATATCCAACTACATTTATTTCCCATAATCATTCCAAATTTATCACCAATTTCCAAAAACCATAATTCACTTAAAATTAAAAATAGTAACTTCCTTACTCTTAGAATTCAGTTACCTATAAATCCTTTCTTAGACCAAATACAGCTAAGAATCTAACTTGATATTCATTCCTATTGAGGAATGAAAATGCTGTTTTAGTTACAAGGAAAGCTCTAAAGTGACAGGTAAGTGAGATTTACTTTTGATTTTAGCTAATATGTAAAAAAGAAAAGTTGACCAACACATTCTGGAAGGAAGAAAACCAACAACATGCTAAATAGAGTTCCAAGAATCCTGATGCCTTCATCTTTACTTATACATTCCAACTAGTTTAATTGGTGCCATCAATGTTTCTCAGCACCCAAAAGAATATCTGATTTAATTGTACTTCTGTGAAGTTTTTTCTGAGTCCCTCACATGTTGAATTAGCCATTACACTCTTTTTCACAAATAACATCTATCAAAGAACATTCCTGGGGTAGACATCATCTTTTTCACTTTTTTCTCTCCATTGTCTACCAAAATACCTGCTACATAAAAGTGAGTTTGTGAGATTTTTTCTTATATACACAATTTCTTCATTGAAAAACAGTAAGTCACAGTTTCTGGTCTTTCTTAGCATTAAAGTTTCATTCTTTTATAAGATTTGTAGAAGAATAAATATTCCTGCTTTTCTCTTTGCTTTTACAATATCTTAGTGGTCTTCAAAGGATATATCAGGATAATCTGAGAAATTCTTTCCAGCCTAAAATTTCTTTCTCTCAGCCTTTGTATGCACTAGCCCCATCCTAGAGAAATATCTTGGGGGTGATCCACTGTTACAGATGAAAGGGTGTCATCTGTCACCACCCTTAGGTCTGAAGAGTTAAAACATGCAGACAGTCTTAGGTTCAGATTCTAATGCTATCTAGTTTCCCAAATAAGGACAGTAACTGTTCACACACAAAGTCCTCTTTCTATGTAAGACTGAAGAATCTTAACCTAAAACACTTTAATAATTCATTAATAAAACTCTAATAAAGTAATACAAATGTTGAAATAATATCACTTTATATTTCAAGTTTCATGGTGAAATTTATGTAAAACGTTAACTTAAACTTTTATATTTATTCTCAAGTTCATGAAAAGACAGCTGCAAACAGTAAGAGGAAGCAAGCAGATGACCTGAGCCTCTTTTCCTTATTGAGCCTTCATTTAAGCATGCATAATTAAAGCAATCCATATTCCCTTGTAGCATAAAAGAAAACCAACACCAATGCAGGGAAAAATAATGCTATTTTGAGCAACCCATAACCAAACTGCTAAGACAAAATACACAGGACCCACAGTAACACTGGCGTCATTAAGTAGTTCCTGTCCTCTTGTTTCATTTTCAGCGTGTACTTTCTGGTAATGGTCCGACAAATCAACAGCAGTTATACATCTTTTCATACATAATGGGCAGATGAAACCCTGTGAAATAACAACTTTTAGAAGGATGTACATTAAAAGTTCTTTATAAAACAAAATTAAACATGAGAACAGATACAACAGGAAAATAATTAGCATTTCTCTTTTTAGGATATGTAAAGGAAACTTTAAAGTAGTAACTGTACAAAAGATGAAAGAGTCATCCAAAGTAGTACTTCTAAAATTAGTTTCTAGTCTCACACTATAAATTTTCATTGGCTCTTTTTTTTTTATTATGGTACATAGTTGCTTTGGATGGAATATTCTTTTGTTTATGATACCTTTTAATTTTTTTATTCATGATACTTGGTGCTTACTTATCTGAGACTATTACTGCCAAATTAGCTTTTACTATATATCAAGAAATTACTGGTAGACAAAAATATCTTTTTGTGATATATGTGCTCAACAAAGAAGTTGTCTTAATGTAAGTAATTTTTAGTTGTTTCCATAATTCACCAGCCTAAGATCTCATTCTTCCCCATATCCATAATTCCCATTAGATGATCCTTCCTACTAATTTTTTGAACTAAACAAAATCATTTTAAAGCAATCTCTCAAATTCCCTATACCTAACAATATCTAAACTTTAAAATGTGGGCTGTATTTGAACTATGGTTTGAAGCTCTGTCAGATAAGAACAGTAAAAGATGGGAGAATAAGAGAATTGAGAGCATTAAGGACAAAGTGAATAAACAAATGTAATGGTAAAGACAAAAGGTTATAGCATTGAGTTGTTTTTTTTTCTTTTATTCATATGTGCATACAATGTTTGAGTCATTTCTCCCCCCTTCCCTCCATCCCCTCCCTTACCACCTCCCCCGCCCCGCTCCTCCCCACCCCCTCACTACCAGGCAGAAACTATTTTGCCCTTATCTCTAATTTTGTTATAGAGAGAATATAAGCAATAATAAGAAGGACCAAGGGCTTTTCCTAGTCAAGATAAGGATAGCTATACAGGGAGTTGACTTGCATTGCTTTCCTGTACATGTGTGTTACCTTCTAAATTAATTCTTCTTGAACTAACCTTTTCTCTAGTTCCTGGTCCCCTTCTCCTGTTGGCCTCTGTCGCTTTAAAGTATCTGCATTAGTTTCTCTGCATTGAGGGCAAGAAATGCTATCTAGTTTTTTGGGTGTCTTACCTATCCTCATACCTCCCTTGTGTGCTCTCACTTTATCATGTGATCGAAGTCCAATCCCCTTGTTGTGTTTGCCCTTGATCTAATGTCTGCATATGAGGGAGAACATACAATTTTTGGTCTTTTGGGCCAGGCTAACCTCACTCAGAATGATGTTCTCCAGTTCCATCCGTTTACTTGCAAATGATAAGATTTCATTCTTCTTAATAGCTGCATAAAATTCCACTGTGTATAAATACCACATTTTCTTAATCCATTCATCAGTAGTGGAGCATCTTGGCTGTTTCCATAACTTGACTATTGTGAATAGTGCTGCAATAAACATGGGTATGCAAGTGCCTTTGGAGTAACCTGTGTCACATTCCTTTGGGTATATCCCCAAGAGTGGTATTGCTGGATCATATGGTAGATCTATGTTTAGATTTTTAAGATGCCTCCAAATTTTTTTCCAGAGTGGTTGTACTAGTTTGCATTCCCATCAGCAGTGTAAAAGGGTTCCTTTTTCCCTGCATCCTCGCCAACACCTGTTGTTAGTAATAACATTGAATTTTGATAACAAAAATAGATGTGATAACCTTCAGGAAATCACTTTCTTAAGTGTCAGTTTCCAAGTCTATAAAATGGAACTAATATAACACCTATTCTTCTAGAGTTATTGTGAATATAAACTTCTTCATACAGTGACAGAGACTTTGTAAGTGCTCAACAAATATTAACTATCAGTAGATATATGCTTAGAGATTAAAGGAAGCCAGGAAAAGACCAAGAGATAAGAAAAAAAAATAGCAAGTAAAAACCTGTATTACTCAGAAGGCCAAAGAAATTAAGAGTGAAAAAATGAGAAAGAATTTTTGAGAGGATAGATAATTATGGTAAAGAATAAGGAGATATTTTAATGTTTCAGGTGAAGCCACTCTGCCTGGTGATAAAGAAAAAGGTACTACCATGGAAATTAGTAGCTACAAGAGGTAATAAAAGATTGTTGGCACTAGTAACATTAGGAACTAGGGATCTAAGATGTTCCTTTAGTCACTAAAGTCACATAGGATAACAGCAACAAAAAAGATGAAGACTACAAATAAGGTTCCAAAGAACAACAATGTCAGGGTGGCAATTAAGAGTTAGGCTTGGGCTTGAATACTGATTCACACCACTTCAAGTAGCTGTGCAACCTTTAATTTCCTCATCTATTAACTGGTATAACAATACCACTTACTTCATACAGATCTCATGACAATTAAATGAGAAGACATGTAATGATTTGGATATGAATTGTCCCCCAAAAAGGCTCATGTATTAAAGACTTGGTTCCCACCTGGTGATGCTACTGAGAGGCGACTGGGTCAAGAGGATGCTAACTTCATCAATGGATTACTCCACTGATAAGCCCACAGATGAAGGGGCAATTAGGAAGTGGAGCCTCGTTGGAGTTACTAGGTCAGTTGGGGGTGTGTCTGTTTTGTCCCTGGCCCTTTTCATCTCTCTCTCTCTGTCTCTCTCTCTCTCTCTTTCTCAATCTACCTCTGGCTGCCATGAAGTATGCAGCTTTGCTCTGCAAAGTACTCTCACCATGATGTTCTGTCTCAACACAAGCCCATAGCAATGAGGCTACATGAGCACAGACTGAAAGTGTGAGCCAAAATAAGCCCTTCCTCCCCTATATTGTTTATCTCAGGTCTTTGTCACAGCAATGAAAAGCTATATAACACAACGTGGAAAGAACTTACCATAGTACTTGGTACAAAGGAAACATTAAGCGAATGTTAGCTATCATTACACTCATTATTCCTTTTGTTAATAGCCCTCATGGGATATCATCCAAAGTATTAAAATAAGGAACATAAATACATTTTTTAACTAATGAAAGTTGTCTTCTTAAAAACAATAGTCCCAAGTGCTAGAACTACAGAATAATACTTTCTTTAAAGGTGTCTTTTGGGTTTTTTTGCTACCATTACTTTATAGTTTCTCTCATTTTAGACCTACTTGTTCACTGTAAGCTTCCATACCCAATTATTCAATAATTCACCCAAAAAAGTGTTTACTTCTGTTACAGCTACTATGATATTGTGCTGAAGACACAATGGCAGAAAAGACACACTCCTCACCCTCAAGAAGCTTACAGGCTTCTTGAATACATTTTATACCCCACTAATCAGAAAATTCTATTAGATCTATGTCCAGAGTATATCCAGAATCTCAGCAGCTCTGCTATTATCACCCTGATCCAAACTACCATCAATTGTACACAGATCACTGCCATAGCCACCTAACACTGTCTATACTTCTACCCTACCCCACTAACAGTTTACTTTCAACACAGCAGCTAGAGTACCCGGGACTAAATGTATATCAAATCTTATCACTTCCCTGCTCAAAACTCTCCAATGGCTTCCTACCTCATTAAGAAACACTACAGTGTGTACAAGACTTATAAGGCCTACAAGAAGTAGACCTATCTCACTGAGTCATTCTCTCTGTCTCTCACTGTGCCAGAGATACACTGGCCTACTGACTGCTTTTCAACAAGCTAAACATGCTGCTACTTTAGAGAATTTCTACTTGTTCCATATGCCTGGAACATCACTTGCCTCAGAAATCTACTTGACTACTTTCCTGACCTCCTTCAGTTCTTTCTCAGATTCCACTTCTCAAGGAAGTTTTCACTGGTAACTACATGAAACAGCAGCTGACCAAAACACTTTCTAGACCTCCTTCCCTGATTTATTTTCTCAATAATACAAATTATCTACCCTGGTAGATTTTAAGTACATTTTGGTTTTTGGCTGTTTCTACCTACTTAAATGTAAGGTCTATTAGGATAAAGTTGTTTTTGTTTTTTAGTATTTTTTTCACTGTTGTATCTCGAGCATACAGAACAGTATCTAGTATCTGGTAATCAGTAAATGAATGAATTTCAGAATAATAAGCATAACCAAAAGGATAGAGAATAGGATTTCATACCAGCACATGCAAAAAGCATCTATCTCACAATTGAGTCAAGGAAAGTTTACTGGAAAAAGTAGTATCTGCAAAAAAACCTGAAGGATATCAAATGTTAATCAGGCAAAAACAAAATAAGAGCAATACTATGATGTGAATGTTTGTGTGCTACCCCCAAACTCCTATGTTGAAATCCTAACCCCCAAGGTCAGGATCTGAGAGGTAGGCCCATCTGGGAGGTGACTAGGTCATGAAGACAGAGTCCTCAAGAATCAGATTAGTGCCTAAGGGAACCCTTTCACCCATTCTTCCATAAGAGAATACTGGGAGGCACCACCTACAAATCAGGAAAAAGACCTTCAACAAATATCAAATCTCTTGATGTCTTGATCTACCTGTGCCTCCAGAACTTCAAGAACTTAGTCCAAATGACTAAGACAAACAACTAAGACATAAAGATTAGCTTATGCAAAAACCCAGACATAGGAAAAGTGCAATACGTCTGGACTAAAGAGCATAAAGATGACGTTAGAAGAAATAAAAAGATATAGTGGGCTGAGAATGTAGCTAAGTGGTAGAGCATTTGCTAGCAAACCTGAGACACTGGGTTCAATTCCCAGAACCACCAAAAAATAAAGAAATAAAGCTATAGAGGTGAGCAGAGAGCAGATCACAAAACGATTAATTTTAAAACCTTCTGGAATAAGCTAAAGAGTTTAGACCTTATTCTACAAAAAAAAAATTAACCAGAAGCCATTAACCTGGCTTTTAACCAGGAGGTTAAAATGAGGTGAGAGGAGACAGATGGGTTAACACTGGAGAAAAGGAAGACAACTACAATAATCTATGTAAAAGTTAATACTTGATGGCAATCTAAGTTAAGGTAGTGAAAACTAAAATAGGACTAAATTACCACTAAAG